TTTTTTTCTGAGCATTCCCGGGAGTAGGAGCCTAAGAACTCCCCTAGGCCATTTCCCCAACCCCCGGAAGCCAGGAGAACCCGTGTCAGTACCCACCCCGTCCCGGATGGGGCACTGCGCACCGAGGTTTCCCCGAGGGCTCGGTCCCTTCGCCTGCAGGTAGGCTCTGCGACCTTAGCTGGGGATTTTTGAGCCCCTCAACGTCTAGTGGCCCCTTCCCCCGTCTGATTGAATCCAGTAGCTCCACCTGGAAGACCCTCCAAAGAGATGCGTGAGGCAGCCGGGAAAAGAAAAAGAGTCAAAACCGTGGGCTGATCGTCTACCCAGAAAAAGCGCTGCCCTGGAAAGGCCGCGTTCTCTCTAGCGTTTTCAACCGAGTGTACACATACAGCTTGGTTCCAGCTGATGAAATTGGAAACCTGTTCTCCCACTGAGGATGACAATCAGTGTTTTAGACGCTGTGGTAACTCTCAGGCAGCGAGAAACAACACTGCAGTAGCAATGAAAAACACAGAGAAAGAGGCTGCTTGAGGCGCTGGATGCACGTCTCTTCCCCACTCTGAGTTTCAGCCTCTTTCCTCTTAACTTGTTAATGAACCGCTGAGACCCCGGTTCTCAGCAGGTAGAGAGCACTGCCACCTTAAGGTCTGCTCCTCTCCATTGCTTCGCTAATGGGGACCTTTTTCTCCCCTCTCCTTCTGAGGGAGTGCTTACTAATTGTTTTCTTTTGCCATAACGTTAAAATATTCTTAAAATCACACCACCACCCCCTGATCAAACAGGAAAGCGCAGAAAGAAAAAACAAACAAAAACTAAAAAACTAAAACCCAAACAATCTTATCTTTGAAAGAGAAAAAGGTTAACTTCAGATTTAACATACACTTAAGAGTACCTGAAATGGCTACCCAATTGTAATTAAAATACTATTAGGTGATAGTGGCTGCTCTCCCTTCTTCACTGCCATTAGTGGTTGTCATTAAAATGACAGATAGAGAAATAGAAAGATAGATAGATTCTGGCCCTTTACTTACAATAATAAGGAGGCTTTGGAAATGTATACCAGCTTCCTCCATCTGGTCCCCCATTCTTCCCACTCACCTTAACTTAGAAGGTAAATCTTTTATGGGACTGACATAGGCAGATCCAAATAGAAAACCCAATGGATTTGCACAGACACATTTGTAATAATTTGCTATACAATTTATTTTAATTTATGATTTTCAATTGAGTATGGCTTTTCAAAATGCCATGGCTTATTTATAATAGATACATGGTGGTGGTTCAATATCTGAATTGACATACATGTAGGATGGTAAAGGAAAAAACAGTCCTAGACTACAACTTTTTATTGACACAGGCCATTCAATTGTCTTAGGATTCTTAAAGAACATTAAAGTGTTCTTTAACATTTCATAGAGCTAGTCAGCATCCCTGACACAAAATCTGCAGAATCTGGCCGCAAGTCTGTAAAATTGACTTTCTGGTGTTTTTTATATTAAGTATTTTTACAAACCCCAATCTCCGTTTCATCCCCCTTAAGGCATGGCTATAGCTGCTTTGCAACACTTCAGTTCTAATTTGAGTTGCCAGTTATCCCAAAGATCCAAACACCAGGAAAAGGCAACAGGACTGCGAAAAAATAACAAACCAAACCAAACCCACATAGCTGTGACATCTTTAGTTGGCTCTTATACAGATATTATA